GCAACTAGTCCTAACAAGTTTGACCTTTTAAAGAGACGTTCTTGACTCGACATCGTTTGTTATGGCTATATTATCAAAATTCATTAAGCTCAAGTTAATGTGCATTGCGATTCGACTAAGACTCAAAAGAGAATATTAATTTCAAAATTGGCGTTCTTGGCTATGAAACTCAACTCTTAACTATTTGGTCTGCTTAATTTATTAATCATAATTTGATATAAAGGTCAACCAGATTCCGGTAGTTTAATTCACCTGTTCGTATGTATACATTTCTGTCTCTATATATACACATTAATCACAGATTCACTTCCATATGAACCAAAGTCACAAAGAGTACTAGACATCTCTAAAAGCAAAAAGGAGAGAGAAGGCTACTGAAAAAAGAACAGTTTTTTTAGGAACTTGAACAAGAAGTTGCCATGGCGGAAGAATTAATCCAGGCTGGTGTTTGTGGTGGAAACTGGTGGAATCCGGCAAGAAGTTTATACGGTTCTTCGCCGTGTTCATCCCCCATCAACGACATGGGAAGCTTTGGATGGCCAAATGATGAAGTGATGAATGATTTGAAGAGAACATGGTCCAGTGATGAGTCTAATTCAGATTCTGATGGACAAAAGTTTCAGCAGCCATTAATTGATCATCGGAATCCAGATTTTCTGTAAGAATTGTCTGTTTAGTTTCTTTGTTGAACTGTCTCGTCTAAAAGCTTCTCGGAGCTAAAGATACAGGCTGAAGTTCGGCATCCACTTGAAAAACCTTTTTAAGCTTTTAGATGATGGTTTTAACGTAATCAACAAGCATGATTTTTTAAATAATCAGTTTCAGGAAAAAGTAGCTTGCTCTATACAGATTTTCTTGATAAAAATATTAAAAAGTAGGTCAAGTTGATTCAAAAAATTCATTTTCTGTTGTTATCTTGCAGCCAAGAAAATGTAATATCTGAGGGAGATTATTCTCACATAAAGCAAGTAAACCAGAATTCAGGCATGAACTATCAGCAACAAACTGGAATTGACTGTCCACAGATTAATCAAATGGACTGGAACTCAAAGAATTTCTCCACTGCTGGCCAAAATTCCCCCTTTATATCGAATTCAGCTTCTGATAGCTACACTTCATCATTTTTGCAAACTTTATTTGATGCAGATTCAGATCAGCCTCAACAATGTTTATTAGATAGTACTCCAGCAATGAACTTTTCGCCGACCACCAATTACCAGGTGAAGTCGAATGAATTTTCACCGCCTTTGTCTAAACAGCAACCTGTTAGTCATCTACAGTTTTCAGACAACATACCCTTCTTGGGTACTTCAAATGATTTTCAAGCAAGCCTTTTCGCTTGTACAAAAGCCCAGTTTTCGCCAACTATTGACCCGTTAAGCTCAGAAGGAAAGAAAACCAACAGTGAACCAGCATTCAAGCGTTCCCGAATCGAAACACCATCGCCATTACCAACCTTTAAGGTATGATCAATCTTTTGACAAAAGGGAGCTGTAATTTACAAAATTAATTTTTAGCATTTTTCAGGTCAGAAAAGAGAAGCTGGGGGACAGAATAACTGCTCTCCAGCAGTTGGTTTCACCTTTTGGAAAGGTAAAAATTTGGATTTTTTAGTCATATTTTTCCACAAATTATGTATGCATTCGTATTTATTAACTGATTAATCTTTTCAATCCTCCAGACTGATACTGCATCAGTTCTCCAGGAAGCAATTGAATACATAAAATTTCTCCATGATCAAGTCAGTGTATGTTCCCATTATCTCATTGATTAGTCTTGATTTTCACTGAAAATAATGCTTTGTAAACGTGTATTAACTCATTGTTTCTTGTAACTTTTTGAGTTTTTGATCTATGTTACTGTTTTTCTTTTTCAGGTATTAAGTACTTCGTATCTGAAAAATGGATGTTCAGTTCGAGGTCAACATGTAGGACTAAAAGTGCATGTTCGTGCATATTTTAACTTCTTTTTCTTTCTTAATATTGTCAATCTTTTGTTCCAGCAAATCTTGTAGAATCATCAGCAGGATCAGCACAGTGCACAAAAAAATGTTGTCCGGTATTTATAATGTTATAAGAAAATAGGACCCAGAGACCTTAATTCTAATTATAGGATTAAATACTACAATCGAAAAGATATTTAACTTCTTTTTCTTCTTTAATATTTTCGAGTATGTTACAAGAAAATAGGATCCACAGACCTTAGTTCTACTTATAGGATTAAATACTACAATCGACAAGCTATTTATCTTCTTTTGCTTCTCTAATATTGCTGAGTACGGTACAGTTCACCTCACCAAACGCGTCATGTATTATATGCAGGCAGCTGATAAACTTAAGGACGAAGAAAGGCCAAAACAAGATCTAAAAAGTCGGGGACTTTGCCTTGCTCCAATATTAAGCACCTTTCCAGTGGCTGCAGAGTCTGCATCTAATTTCTGGAACCCTACATTCGGAGGAACATTCAGTTAGAGAAGAAAATTAAGCAAAAAGAACCCGGAAAATAGTTGTGAACAGAGAAGAAACTGCAAAAATAGAGCCATTGTTGCCTTCTCCAAAGATTGAGGAAAAGCAACAAAAAAAAAATGTTCAGCTAATACATGGTCTAATGTAGGCTAAAAAATGATAGTACAAGACTTGCACTAATAAATTCTCTTTGTACTGTATATAGTTAGTTATGGCTAGTTGAGTTTTAAGAAACAAAACAAGATAAATTTTGTTGATTATATACTATCATGTCTAATACTATGCATCAAACTCATGCTGGAAAATGGAACTTCGATTTTCTGAACTTCATAGAATCGACGGGTTTTTGACGTGATATTGCATCTTTTGCACTTCCACTGCATCACAAACATGCATTTAGGGGTGGGTTATTGAGAACAGGAACATGTGCTAAATCTAGCTGTGCTTCATATTAGTTTAATTAGGGGATATTATACACAATATTTGGATTAAGCTAAATATTTTATGTAGGTTTGATCATGTAGCTTTAATTTGTGCAAAAGAATGTGAAAAAAATTCAAATATTAAAAACAAAGGCAATATTATTGAATCCGAGAGTATAAAGAATGTGCGGATGAAACGTGCTAGTATCGGGTTCAACTATCTCATCTGAAAACAAATCATTTGAGTGACCCAATCCATAGGCTTAAGAGCATTCTTGTTGTACACCAACAATCCCCCCATCAGCATGACGCTCTTGTGACTTGAAACTCATGGCCATGGCTCTGGAGTTTCAACTATCTCATCAGAAAATCAATTGGTGTCCGATGATGGCAGGTTAAACCTTTTTATAACATTCAATCACCAACATTTGAGTGACCAACTCATGAACTTAAGAACGACCTTGTTGTACCACGAACAAAACTTTTAATTTGTTTAAAATGGTTTGGAATGTTGTAGCGGAAGTCAGATAATATCTTGTAGTTCATACTTTTTAGGATTTCCTATAACAATGTCTGACTCATTCCTGCCATGATTTCACAAAGGCCACCTGTAGATTTTTTTTAATAATCTTATGTAAACCCATAATTTAAGACAGAATGAGAATCCATAAGACAAGTGACAAAACATAAAAAGATAACTGTACTTTTGAGAGTCCCAAACTTTTTCTTGATAGCATGTCTTGGCATCTGCTTTACAAACTTTCTATGACTTGAATTGACAAGTTGGTGGGAATTATACCATACCTTCCATAATCAGGATAAGTCGGGGTCGAAGAATTCAATTCTTACGTATTTTTCAAAAGGTACAAAAAGAGAAATGCGAAGGAATACTGGAAAGGAAAAGCGTCTTGGCATCATTGTGAAGTAGGAAAAGTATGTATGTGTAATCTTTAGTTTGACATCCAAAATTGCTTTTGATGTTTTGGCTAATCATAGTAAACTCTTTGTTTGTCTTCTGCGACAAGTTTTACGAATTTGATTCTCATAGTGAAAGTAATTTATGTGACTAATGACAATATCATCGAGGAAAGACCGTCAATTGGTTAAATCGTTGATACAACTGACATACATTCTGACAGTGCTGAGGGGACTTCATCAACAAAAGTATTTGTATGTTATTTCCATCGGTGATCAATCTTATTCTTGGTCAACTTTGTATTTTCGGTGATTATCATCGATATTGAAAATTTTAATCGGAGATTGCTTACACTGACGGACTTTTCTGGCATCAGTGACCGATATTTCTATCACTAATCTCCATTTTTAGTAGTGACTACCTAATGCAGCTGCAAACTTTCTTGATGTACAACTTGACCTCTAGCATGTTTGGTTAATATTAAAAGTTATATTTTTAAGTAACCTTTTATTTTTAAATATGTAGATGGGATACTTTTTCTTATTTATACGTAAAACCAAGTCACTTATTTTAAGGGTGGCATCGAATAAGCAACTTGGTAATTTTCAATTTTGGCAAAAAAATAATAATAATTAAATAAATAATATTGTAAACCTTATTTATAAGTAAAAATTCAAGCATATACACTATCTGTGTAAACTTCAAAGTCAAACCAGGGGAAGATATCAATTTAAACGTTGCATCTTCATACTGTCACAATTTGAGTTTTCAGACATCAATAACTAATGAAACAGAATCATAGTTTCGGGTTGGATAATTTGAGGCTAGATGTAGCTAATCGTTCGATCATTAATTGAGTTCCGTAAATGGTAACTCAAAAATTAATTTAAGTATATAGTCAATTAGTTCATCACGACATGATCAGAAAAACGATAAAAAGAACATTGAAATAAGAATATGAAGCAAACACAGTAAAGTAAAAGAATTGATTGGAATGTTAGACTGAAATTTTTTTTTTGTAGTTGTAGACAAAATCGAAATGTTTTCATTTCCTATGTAAATCACATTCCATGGAAAATGTTAATCCCAAAATTCTGAACTAACCAAATTATTCAACCCCCAAAGTCAAAAACCAAGAGAAAAAATTTGTAAACTAATACCAACATAGAGGAGAGGAATAAGAAGTATATAAAGAACTTATCTACCTATAATGACACTAAAAGTTACATTGTTTGAGGTTACAACATCATGATTCCCATTCCACATATCTGCATTCCCAGAATGTCTCATTGAAGTAAAACTAGGTTGTCTTGGCATAGGCAAATTTGCATTTTCACTCTCCAACATCAATACAGCGGCCGGCATGTTCGGTCTGTGACTTGCTGTGTCTTGAACACACAACATGCCTACATGTATGCATCGAAGCACTTTTTCTCGGTTACATGAGTTTATGATGGAAGGATCGACTAACTCAATTGCTCGGCCTCCGTCCCAAAGATCCCACGCCTACAACAGGGAAAAATTGGACGGTTGTGATTAGAACATATAAGTAATGTCAAAGTGGGCCAGTCCACCAAGGCTTCGCAATGAAAGAACATTTAGAAGTAAGACTTAAATAGACTTACATATCCAATAATGTTCGAGTGATCTGTTTTGCGAAAGCTAGTGTTCCTTCGGCCAGATACTATCTCTAATAGCAATACCCCGAAGCTGTAAACATCTGACTTCACAGAAAAGAGGCCTTCCATTGCATATTCTGGCGCCATGTAACCACTGCATCAGATGAAATTTTAGTTGATACATACTCTCTGCACAAGCAAAGAAAAAAAATTAAAAAATCACGTGCAAGACTAGTATTACTTACTATGTCCCCACAACCCTATCTGTATTCACTTCATTTTGGTTCCCTCCGAATATTCTGGCCATGCCAAAATCTGAAATCTTTGGGTTCATTTCTTCGTCTAACAAAATGTTGCTAGCTTTTAGATCCCTATGTATTATTCGAAGTCTTGAATCTCGATGCAGATAGAGAATCCCTCTTGCAATTCCTTCGATAATAGCGAAGCGTTTCCTCCAGTCGAGCTGGGCTTTCTTAGCAGGATCTGTAATAAGTTTGACAATGAAAGCCTAAATGAACTTTCTGGACTAAACTATGCAGCATTAACAATTCATTCTTACAGTTTAAGAATAGTTGACCAAAAAATCCAAAAAACTAACCAAAAAGAAATGAATCTAAGCTTTTGTTAGGCATGTACTCGTAAAGTATCATTTTTTCTTCTCCTTCGATACAGCAGCCCAAAAGTCTTACAAGATTTCTGTGTTGTAATTTAGCCATTAGTGTAATTTCATTCTTGAATTCCTCTAAACCTTGACTGGATTTTCTCGAGAGCCTCTTTACAGCGATTTCTTGATTCCCCGGTAGCATACCCTGAAGATAAAAACAAAAGATTAATTTCATACAATTAGACAGAGAAGAAAACATAGTATTCCTCTTCTGCTGAAGTGAAACTACCCTGTAAACATGTCCAAATCCTCCTTGTCCAAGTTTGTTCTCATCTGAGAAGTTGTTTGTAGCTGCTGCCACACACGAGAAGTTGAACAAGGCTAATTCAGTTCCTGTTCCTGGTGGCCCTTCAACACTAAGGTCACCCGGTCCAGAAAATTCGCTGGAAAACTCACCACTTGGACTGAATTTTGGCATTTCATTGTTCTTCTCGGTTAAATGGTCTATGTTAAACACGAGTGTTAGAAGTGTACATCTCTATGGTTAAGCTTTAAGTCTGTACTAATTATACAGCTGAATTTTACCTCCGAATTTCATTTTGGGCCTGCAGAGCCAGATTGAAGCACATAGACAAAAGATTCCCCCCAAAACAACTGCTATAATAACAACTTTCATCACCTTACTATTGCCACCTGTTTTGAGATAAAATCACAAACCAAAGAACTGCTTATCAATTTCTCAAAAATGCGAAGGAAAATAAATTCACGAAGGCGAGGTAACAGACGGAGAGGCCACTCATTGTACTAAAGAAACTTGAAATCAAGACTTGAGAAAACATTGATACAAGCAAAATATGATAGATTAATGATATAAGCCAGTTGCCACAATTAAGTTAATCCAAAGGCAAATCTAATGCAGGCATTTACAGTGAAATTCTTCAGGTAAAGATAAGGGGAATGCAATCAGAAATTCAGGAAATTGGGAATCTATTAAATGCATATATACGATTTATATTCATATTAGCAAACAAAATCTCTATAACGCTTTCAGTCGACATGGATAATGTTTGATATGATGGACTGAATAAGATAGGATGGTGCATGACATAAAAGTATATCATACCTAATTCAGAACGGTCAAGACGAACAAACAGAGTACTACCACCTTCATCAAATTGTACGAGGTCGATAAATTCCCTACTCCAAATCATGCAGTTTATGCCACTAACAAAAGCATATGCAGTGCAAGAACAATTCTCCAAACACTTATTTTCACACTCCTTAACATCTTCTGGTCCCACATAATCCACAAAATCGGGCAATTTCACTTGTTCAGCCTTGAAAAAGCCATCTCTGTTCTCCTCGGATAAACACTCCATATTTTTCCTCCTCGTGCATCCACCTGACCAATTCCCTCTAGTCCATTGATCCAAATCTCGGGGTACATACCCTTCAATACAACTACAAACTGGCCTCTTCTTTTTATCACATTTTCCAAAAGGTCCACATTTGTTATACCGATCACATTCATTATCAACAGGGTGTGATTGTATCAAATCCCATTTTTCGAGCCCATCATTCCATCTTTCTTGCCTTTCGATTCCATCCCATCGAATCCAAAACTTGATCAAATCAGTACTATTCGAGGGCGTATATGTGAAGTACCACTTTCCATCGCCGTCATTGTTTAGCTTAAATCCATACAAATATATAGCCCTCATCCCTGGAACACCAATAAATATTAGTCCATTCCAATTCCCACTTCTCCATTTTCGACTAGTCCCTTCCCATATCACGATCTGAGGCGATCCACGAGGATCAACGCCTAAAGAGTACTTTCCAACACTCGGATCACTAGCACTTCTCCATGAGGTGAAAACGTGCCTCTCCCCTTCACTGAGATTTATGTAAACTCGCATATCGGGTAAAAATGTATCTGTTGGATGAACAAAACTCTTCCATAAAGCCTTATTTGGATCACCACTCCCAAAAAGAACGAGATCACCAGTATCCATTAAAACAGCAGAGGAATTATCTGAGGCAACTGTTGCATTGGTGGACCAGATCACATCACCATTTCCATTCAATATGATCAAATTCCCATCATTTCCAATTCTTAAATCTCCACCGTTGCCACTGATGGGATTTTCTCTATTTGCCACCCACACCACTGTTTGATTTTCAACATCATTGTACCAGATTCCAACATACCTAAGAACAGAATCCTCTGGACTAAAGAATCCCAATACAAATCTTTCTTCTTTCGATATAATTTCTTCTCCGTCTCTTACAGATTGGCCTCTTTTAATTCGATTTTCAGCAGAAATAAATACAGAAAATATACAAAAATTAGTCAATAAATAAATGAAGAGATTACTGCGACTTCTGGAATCTGAGGCCATTTCAGAACTTGAAAATTTCTAGACATTCAAGAATGGATATTTTTTCAGTTGGTTTGAAAAGAGGGTGTTTTATGGCTGCCCTCTGAAGATATGCGTGGGTTTTTAAGATAAAGTTGAGAAGATTGAATTGACTTCAAAGTACTCTTTTTTTGAAGATTCTTGGTTGACCTACACAGAGATAGATTCTGACAATTCGTCTGCAGCTTTCATATACACTCTCTCTCTCACACACACAAACATATAGCTCCAGTTTCACCTCATTATTTGAGATTATTATTTTTTGAACGGTATTTTTTTTTAAGAATGTGTGATTAAAAAAGGAAAAAATTTTGAATTTATATATAATATTATTTTATTTAAAAATACGTGATCGATAAGAAAAGAAAGAAAGAAATTATAATTTTAATGAGGATGAAACGAGAGAGAGAGAGAGAGAGAGAGAGAGAGAGAGCTTCTTTTAGGCTCAAGCCCACAACATAAAATTCTTAGAATTTGGTAAATTTGGGCAAAGAAAGTTGATTCTGACACCTAGTCTACAGCTTTGACAACGTTTTCAGAGACAAACATGCGGTCATATTCAGCGTGATAATGGCAACATTGGTCCTCAATATATTGATCTAGTAACAAGTTGGTCCACAATTATTACAATAAAGTGAATTATAGTTTAACATCAGTCCCCCAATTTCATAAACCGTCGAAGTGTCCATCAAAACATTACATTTTCTCTTTCGTGTTTTTCTATAAGGTCAATACATAATCGAAAGATGATAAAATAAATAATTATTTCTATAAAAAGTAATTGGGACGTGGTGCTGAAATCCTAAATAAAGTCTGGGCTATAACTTGGTGCAAATCGGGCCATACCAACTACTAGCGACAAGAGCCGATTATTATTATTACTATAGGTGTCAAGTAAAAGTGGAATAAATGTAAGCAGATGAGACATCTTAAGAGATCAGTAAACTTTACATATCCTGCATAACTTGATCAATTCAATTTGGCGCTTGCAGTCTATTTCATTGTTCAAATATTTGACAACATTAAAACTCGCTATTCAATTCTTTGACAATATGAAAAAAAAAAAATCAAAAGTTGTGCCCTCCCTCTCTACCCATCGAATTGCACATGGATTTGGAAATAATCAACTGTGGAGGTCCTTCCCCATCAATAGTTATAGGTTCTTATTCAACGTGTGAAATTTTGGATCATCAACCTATTTAAATTGGTGAATTTGAACCCCTTGGGGGAAAGAATTAATGTAGACGTTAAAATTACATGCACATTTCACGTCTTAGAGCCATAGGAAAAATGTCAAAACAACTTAACATTTAGCTCAAATTCAATTGAAAGTCGTGTGAAATTTTAGCATCTAAATTAACGATTTTCATCGCGTTGGGATCCAAATTTACGAATTTAAATAGGTTGGGATCCAAAATATCACTTTTGAATGTCGAAAATACCACGCTCCGCAAAAAGTTGGAGAACGTAGCCCTAATTTACGAAAAAAAAAAATACTTGGGAAATTTTTCTTACAGATTTTCACATTCAATTTCCTATTATAAATAGTCACTTTAGGTTTAATTTCTCATTCACTCGAAAATAATTTAGAGCAAAAAATATACTAAGATTCATCTTGTTATAGGAAAAGATTGTGTTCCAACTTAATCATCAAGAAAAAAAGATTAATACAATCTCGGACTTAAATCACCTAAAAAAGTTATTCACGTAGATAGTAATATTCAGGCAAATTATAGAAAAAAAAAATATTAAATAATGATCTGCTCGAACATGGCTGGAAATATCGACTTGATAATAAAAAATCAATTATAATTAGAAATTTCAAAATTGTTGCAAAATAAAATGCCAATAATTGAGTCAATTTTAGAATTTATTGTTAGAAATATTATTTAGCATGCGAGATATGTAACAAATCAGAAACTAAGATAAGGAAATGACAAACCGAATAATCCCTCAACGAAA